ATAAGCCCTCTATAACACCAACTGGGCCTTCATTCATAAGGGGACTGCATTTACGGTAGTTTTAATTCTGAATCTCAGAAGTCAGACTGATCTACATGTACAGCTGCCTTGAGGCCTTAACCACTGTTCAGTATTGGTAATTAACACTAGAAACCAATGGAGGATTCTCTTGTGCTCTTGGTGAATTAAGTAGGTCATCTTGGTATCACCACTTTGAAACTGGGACCTAGTTGACCTAGTTTTCTTCATTCATTATTTTAGCATTAAGAAACATTATATCTGGCACTGTGACTAAAAACATGAACCTATCTTTATGAGCACTATACCATAACTGAAGGAGGCAGACATCGAGAAAGTAAGTAAAATAACACATAAATAAATCCCATGAATAAATGAACTCTAGACTGGAGGATATGATGCAAACTGGACACTATCTGTGTCCCTCTTTACACATATGTTAATTTTTATAAAAGCTTTAAACAATACTGACAATTATGAAATCTGTAAATTGGAGACAGCTTTAAAAGTCAATTCATTTACATTCATCATTTGATAGCTAAGGACAACAGAATTCTAGGAGCCCACATGAATAGCTTTCCTTAGGAAGTGAGTTGTTCTAGCTCACTTTTGGCTTGATTTTGTTTTTTTAATTGTCAATTAGATACAGTCAAGGGAGCTTCAATTGAAAAACCACCTTTTATCAGATTGGCTATTGTGTTGATTGACAAGTGACAGGGAAAACCCAGTTCACTGTGGGCAGCACCATCCCTAGGCAGTTGGTCCTGGGCTAGATAAGTCAGCTAAGTTCTAGTTACAGAGCAGGCAGTATTCCATAGTTTCTGCTTCAGTTCCCACTTCTAATTTCCTGTCTTGAGTTTCCTGCCCTGGTCTCCCTTGGACAGGGATCCTTACCTAGAAATATAATCTGAAATAAATCCTTTTCTCCCCAAATTGTTTTTGGTCATGGTGTTAATCACAACAACAGGGAAGCAAACTGGAGCATTAATTATGCAAACTAAAGGGACACTTTGTTGTTAGGCTCTTATCCCTCGAGATCTAAGTGACCTTAACTCCCAGATCATCTCACCCACTCTCACGTATCCTACCATTCTTAGCACACAAATCATTTGCTAATATCCCACCATCTCCACCACTGTGGCCAACAGTTCTATTAATAAAAATCTACCCACATCTCAAAGGTACAACTGTAAAGCCCATGTGGCTTTCCTCCACCATAACGACCTAAGCAAAGTTCCCTCCTCTACATCTCTCGGACCTTCATCATCACTTACCCTGAACTGCGTATCCCTCACACTCCTTAAAATTGAGCACATATGCCTTAAGGGTAGAAAATGCATTGCTGCTACTATGCTTTGGTGATTTCTTGTTCTAATGAATAACCAACCAGTGCCACAGCTAACCAGAGGGAGCAATCATCCTACTTAAGGCTCACTGGCCTGTAAGAATCACTCTGAAGACTCAAAACTCCTAAAGAAAGGCAAAAGTTCAGTGCTGCAGCAGGAAATCTAAGCTTTATTTTAGGAATATTTATATGCCATTTAGTATAAAACAGGCAATCTTATTAAGATTAGGTAAATAATGAAGTAAACAAAGAATAATAACACTGACCCAAGATCTGAAAAACCTGGGCGGACTGGGATGATGGGTGTCTATCCAATAATGTCTTCTAATTTGTATGTATACTTAAAAGCATGGTGTATATATGTGTGGCATATGCATATGTAGGCACATACAGAGACCAGAGCTAATGGTAGGATATCATCCTCAATCATTTCACTACTTTTTTGAGACAATCTTACTTAGCCTGGAAATAACCATTTCAGCCAGATGGTCTCCCTCCACTCCGCCCCCACACTGGGGTTATAGATGTGCAGAGCCAACCTCACTTTATGTGAGGTGGGATCTGCATTCAAGTCCTCATGCTGGTACAGCAAACACTTTAACAATTCAACAACCTGCCCTGCCTCTAGAATCCATGAATAGTGCTGTGATCCTAGAACTCTCATGACTGTGGCAGTAAGATCCCCAAGTTTAAAGTCCCCATGGACTACATAACATGATCCTGTACTTCAACCCTCCCCCTCAAAAAAGACATAAAAGAAAGCCAAGTTCACATCTAAATTTAGGTGGCTGAGTCAAAGGATCACTATGTGTCTGAGGGCACCCTGGGTACAGTGAGTACTAAGAACCACAGAGTGAGAATGTCTCAAAAGACACATGTGTGTGGGCACACACATATGTATATATACTTACATGTAAAATGAAATTTTTGTCTATTAAATAAGGAATAACTTGAAAAAAGAAAACCAACTATCTTCAAAGTTATTACTTTTTAATCTTCTCTAAAGTGACATAAATGCTCAAAATACAATTGGCATAAAAAGCCCAACTCTCCTCACCCCAAAAATATGCCAGGAAGTACCTAATTAATTTTAATTCACAAAGAGCACCACAGGAAGGACACCTGGAGCTTTGACAAGGCAGTTCCTATATGCATTTCCTGCTTCCCTCGGAACACCCTGTTACCCTCCTTTCTGGCATCCTCTAACAACTAGGTCTTCCGGCCTCCTTTTCCCCAATGTTTAAATAGCTTCTGTTTGGTCGTGAGGCTTGGCCCTAAAACAAATGTCACATCTGACCTCTTGAACACTTTACTTTCACCAGCTTCACCTTGAAGGCAGAATCATGTTAAAGGTCAGGAAAGGATGCCCTGTAATGTAGCAATCCACTGCAAGAGCAAGTCTTGCCGGCTACAAAACAGATCCAATGTGCTACACAAGACAGGTGACAGCTGGGAGCACCAGAGAGATGACAGCTGCAAGCCGAGTGTGAGGGTAATGGGGCAATCATCACCAGCCTACTGGGGGGGTGGGGGGGGGTGGGGAAACGACTCTGAAGCTCTGTAAAAGGACATACACAATTTCAAATAACATGACACTCTGGATGATGTTGAGCCGAAGCAAGCCGCAGACCAACCTAGGTTGCCCTTTTCTAGCAAGAGGGGTGGGGGTGGGGGGCAGAGAGCTTAAGAGACAGCAAAATGGGAAAAAAAAAAAAAAAAGCACTCCCAATGTGACATAGGTCATTTCCTCTGCACCATAAACCTGTATGCCCAAAGCATCTTTAAACCTAAGTTTCCTTTGTTAAAACTGAGTGTGAAGCTGGGCATGGCAGCTTAAATCCATAATCCTAGTGCTAAGGAGGTGACAGCAGCAAAGGGCTGGATGTAGGATGGCAAGGGCATAGAACATCTTCTCGGCAGCCTGCTTTTCTACACCTTCAAAGAAAAATCATTTTTATATTTTTGTTTATGTAGCCCTGGCTGGCCTGGAACTGTATGTAGAAGAGTCATCTGATTGTAACTGACTGCCTCCAGAGAGCTTAGATGCAGGCACAAGCCACCTTCTTAAACAAAGAAAACGGACTCTTTGGGGCCGCAACCTAAGTAATATTTGCTGACACTGCAGAGGAAAAAATTAGACCCTCTAATAGTTTAGCTCATCTACCACATACTAGGTTCATACACTAATAGTAATAAAAAGGGGAGAGCAGAAGTCCAGTATTCTCTGGCCAATTGGATGGGAGATTTAAGTCTGGCCTAACTACTGCTGTCTATCTTCAGGCTCTTGACTCTTACAGTAAGCTTGCTTAATTTAGATAGTAAAGAAATAGTTGGCAGGTGCTAAACAGTGAAACTGCTTAATTTTAGGATAATCTATAGATTGGGTACACTTTACCTAGTATATGGAAACGGTTCATCACCTTTTTTTAACCATTTACGATAATCACCACAGGAAAGCGACTTACATGCATAATTACATTTAGTTTTCCTTTTTCCTCTCCCAAATAGAAGGTTTGGAATCCCTGAGGGGGAGTGACAGAAACACTGGGGGTTTTGTCTGCTTTGCTTACTAATGACTTCTTACTCAGAAGCCATACAGGTATGCCTTAAGTGTTCAATAAATGTTCATTATTAACACATGGATGAACAAATCAGTATCACTGAGGTATAGAGAAGATCAAAGATGTGGCTGGAACCTGAGCTTAAGTGGTCTGATACATTCTAAGTGAAATGCTATTTCCATCTAAGTGTCTGCCTTTGGTTCGACTATTTAAAGTGTGAGCCAACATGGGCTTCTGCTATTGTGACTAGACGTACAGTTTCAGATAATGTCTATGCCCAGAAGGATAACCCGTATGCTTCAGGAAAAAAAAAAAAAAAAAAAAAAAAAAGCACAGCTCAGAATGTCTTCATGTTAACAAAACTGCCAGATTCCTAAGGAGTGTATTGTCATCCTTTCGAACAGTTACATTTTGCAAATAATAATAATAATGTTAAGTGCAAAATTCGGTATCAATTAAGTCTGACTTTAAAAAAAACAGTTGCTGTTTAACACTGCAGTAATTCAGTACTAGAGGCTGAAGGTTCAACATTCAGTACTTCCAAAGAGAAAAATGAGAAGAGAGGGGCACTTCCGGGGTCGTATTCAACAAACAGCTACAGGTAAGGAAGTACCACTCAAGAAGGTGTTTTGGACCGAATAAAATCCTTGATAGGGCGTGGGCGTGTTGGAGAAGCAAGAGTGGTACACTTCCTTAATCCTCCAACTCAGGAAAAACTGCGATGCCCGCCGCACTGCCGCCGTCAAACTAGCTCTAGCCAGGTCACCATCCCGGTCGCCCGCTCTCCCACACGCCGAGGCCGCTACTCGGAAAAGGGTCGGTCAGGGTGCCCACCTTCCCAAAACACCAAGCCACAGACCCCAAAGCCTTAGCCCCACCCAGCTCGGAGCGTCACTTTCGGGGAGGGGCCAGCGACCTGAGCGTCGTAGGCCACGCCCCTACGGCTGTTCTCCCGCGAAAATTCGAAAAGTGCCGTTTGGACCCAGTTTGCGGCGAGTGACCGGAAAGCCCCTCGGAAAGGACAGGAACGGGCCACGGAGAGGCAGGCGACACCGGGTCGCCAGGTCGGTCCTTACCAGCGGGAGCAGCGCAGCAGCCTCTCCAGGCGGGCGAGCGCCGCGCGGCTGTAGGCCCAGGGCCCGTCGTCAGCCGGCTCCATGGCGAGCGCGGGAGAAGGCTTGTTCCCCGAGCGGACCGTCGGCGGCCTACGCGGCATCGCCTCGGAGGGCGGGAGGTCAGGCCCTGCTCGGGAGCCACCCCGCGCTGGCACCGCCGGACCCCGCCGTCGCGCGGAGCCCCCGAGCCGCTGGAACTCCTGGGGCAGCGCGGCGGAAACGCGCGCGGTGAATCTCCCCGCGATGGAGGGGCGCGGCTTGAGGCCACGCCCTCAAGGGCTGGGGCGGAGCTTCAGAGACGCGGGCAAAGTTCCGGAAGCGGAGGGGCGAGGCTTGAGGCCCCGCCCCCCGGAGTTGTCTGCCGGGTCTCTGGGTGCCTGGTGGAGGGGGCGTGGGTAGAGGTCACGACCTCAAGCCCCGGGAGGCGGGACGTGTGAAACTTTCTGCGCGCGAAACAGAGGGGCGAGGCTTCAAGGCCACGCCCTCAATGTAAGGGGGGGGGGCGGCCCCCCATGGGTGTTTTTCCGGATCAGGGATTGTCCACCTACCCTGTAGCATCAGAAACTCGTTGCTGAAGCTGTCAGCAAAAAACGGCGTTTTCATTACTGTTGAACTTGGAAAAGCTTTTCCCATGACAATAAAAGTAGAACCATTCTGCATAAGAAAGTTTTCTTTTTGTCCGCTATGTTCAGTGAGACCGGTTTTAACCCAGGCTTTTTCAGACCCAGGCCAGCTGGCCTTGGTGAGTTCCCGATAGAACATCCCCATTGTCTCAGTGTGTGGGTGCACCCCTCGCGGTCCTGAGTTCCTTGTTCGTGCTCTCTCTCCTGCTCCTGATTTGGACCTTGAGATTTCAGTCCGGTGCTCCATTGTGGGTCTCTGTCTTAAAGCGGACAATGAGGACTACTGAGACCTCAAGAACAATGGCAATGGGTTTTTGATCCTACTGCACGTATTGGCTTTGTGGGAGCCTAGGCAGTTT